TTGTCCATGATTTTAATCATTTTTTCTTTTTGTGATAAAAAAATTATAAACAATTTTGGATAAACATTGTATAGAAATTGTAACCTTAAATATTCATTGTTGTTTAATCACGATTTTTTAATGTTTATTAATAATATACATAAATTGTAGTTTCTAAAATAATTATAATTGCTAAAAATATCAAAATACACAAGCATAATTATAAGTAATTATATTTATAAAAAAATAGCAAAACGCTAATTTTACCAAACACTTTTTATAAAAATCGCTAACACGATCAGCTGGTCAAAACAGCTAACACAATCCGCTGGTCAAAACAGCTAATTCAATCCGCTAACAGCTAACAGCTGATTACCAAACAAGGCCAGTATTTTTTAACTCAACATTCATATTGTACACATATATTGTACTAGTGGAGGAATATTGTAGAAAATTATAAGTAATATTCAAAATTATGTTGTAATTGTTGGTTCTAGAAACTTTAATTGTGCATAGTCAGGCCTATATATATAATCCCCAGCGAGGACAAAAGAAGAAAAAACAAAGAATGAAAAAGGGCCTCTGCTGTATCCCACTAAAATCTTAGAATTGCATGAAGACTAAATAATGTCAACTAAAATTTACTTTTTTGAAAATAATACTAAATTCCATTTATATAAATATATAATATATCTAATGAATTGTTCTTTATCTCGGTATAGTATATCTTTTCTTCTTTTTTTTCTGTCAATTAAAATATTTGATTAAAAATGAAAGCAAAAAAACTAAAAGAAAGAGAACAAAAACAAATGAAATAAATTTGTTTTTTTTTTTTAAATGAAATAATTTGTTTTTTTTTTTAAACAAAAAACAAAAAACAAAAAATACCTCTTTGACTTCCTCCTCCGTGATTCGGCCATCTTCATTCTTGTCCACCCTGCAAACATTAATTAATTACTGATTAGTTAATTAATAAATTAATTAAAAAGTAAGACAACCCCATCCCAGTTATGTAATACTCGGTCATTTCCGAGATGGGCAAGAAAACTGTTCTTTGCTATTAGTTTAGCATTTTAATCATTAGTCACTCATAAAAATGCTATTGTTCCGTTACGGAACCACTTCGTCAGAATTTGTAACCGCTAGATCATCATGTAACCGTCCTGTTGATTTAACGTTTACAAATCTCGACATAATGGTCCGTAACGGTACCGTAGAATCTCCCCATATTTATAGAAAATAAAGGTACATATTCATATTTTATTTTAAATAAAATTATTTAATCATTATATTGACTTACAAAATAGTTAGAAGTTCTAAATGCATAACAATCCACCTACCTTTTCAAAATTAATTTGAAAATTTGTTCCTAAGCAAACATTATCTTAGGAATAATCTTTTAGGGAATTGGTGCAACCAATTCAAATCGAGTTGATTTATCTTTTACGACTTGTTGAACTCACCTCCCCTTTCACTTTCTAAAAATTATTGCATTACTGCATACTGTATATCCTAAGTTGATTGCTTACGCTTTATTCAGTGTAGCTTAATTACGTAATTAACTTGCTAATCAACTTAACCCCACCTAATTACTGTACAAAAATGAGGAAACATACATGTCGAAGAAAATCTGAAGCCTGGAATCAAAACTTTGATCTGTAATCTGCGACCAGAATTCGTAAAGCTCTTCCTTGCTGATTCTGTCGACTGTCAGCCGTCTCCTTCTGCTCAACGCATCGAACAATTCCAGCGCAAATTCCTTCGAATCTCTCATTCCTGTAACAGAAAATCACAGTTGTAACTAAAAATCAAGCACTCATTTGAGCTTAACAAATCGCAATTAACAGCACAATTAGCTGGCTATCAATTAACAACCTATGCATTGCCCAAAATCAGATCGATAGAGGTAGCCATCTTTGGCGAGTTTCGCGAAGTTTCTCTCCACTTCGCTCCAGCCGTCGACGTGGCTTTTTTTGCCGTCGCTGATGAACTTCAGCCCCCGGAGCGCCTTCTGGGCGCCGGAGCGGGTGCGATCCAGCTGCGCGCGCTGGCGGCGCATCGCCCTTGCCGCCAGCGCCGATTCAATTCCGCCTCCGCCTCCGCCTCCCCCAGCGCCGCCGGAGAGTATCCGCGACGCGCGGCCGTGGCTCCACGATAACCTCCTCATCTCCTGCGAGAACTGCCTCGCGCGGGCAAAGGCCTCCGCCTTGAGCTCCTGCGAGAACTGGATGAGCTTGTTGTTGGACAAGCTTCGCCTCATGGTAGTAGATCTGGAGGTCGAGGCCGACGCCGGAGTGGCCTCCACGCCGACGATTCCCGCGGCGGCCTCCCCGCCGATGTTGATGGCGACGGCGGCCGCCGGCTCCACGCTGCGGAGGATGATGGTGTCGTCGTCCTGGAGGTCGAGGGTGACCTCGACGAACTCCGCCGACGGATCCACGGAATATTCCGTTCCCGGCGAGGAGCCGCCGCTGGCAGATCTCCCGGCGGGAGGCGTGTCGGAGCCACACCGGCGGTGGTGTTTCCCCGTCCCCCTCATTGGAAATGCGATCTCGTTTTTCGCTCAATTTATTTATTTATTTATTTTTCTGTATTCAGCGATCAGCATAAAAGTGTGACGATTATGAGGAGGACGTGACACGATGGTGGGAGTTGAGACTTGAGAGAAGGTGAATAAACTAAACTACTCTTATCATTTGTTTATTTAAAAAAAAAAAAAAGTTAAAGAATTAATAATAATACACAAATAAATAATTGAATTTGTTAATATAATAAAAGTGAGTGGGAAATGGAAAATGGCACTGAGGAAACTAACAAAACGCGTCGGGAATCCAAGTAAAACGACATGCAACGCGGAGGTGATGAAAAAAGCAAGACTGGGAAAATGGATATGATATAGAAAAGAGACAAAGTTCTTCTGGCTGAATTTGTATTTGTGAACTGAATGAGAATTTTTTTTTTTTTTTTTTCTGCTTTTTGGTGATTTTGATTGAAATTGAAAAATTGTGTCAGCTGAAAAGGGCAGCCACAACCCACAAGGAGACTTGGTGTTTGTGTTCTTTATACTCTCTTCGTCGTCTCTGTCACTGTGTGTGATGCATATTAAAGTAACTTTGTATTTAATAAAATAATACCCACTTTTATGAATCCACATTTTTCATTATGTTTTGTGTTGTATCCAAAATCGGATCGGACCAGCTCGATCGTCCAACCGGTTGGACCAGGAATTGGTTAGTTATTCGATCGTGTTCGTTAATTGGAAACAGTCATCAACTTGAATCAGTCAAAACCGGCCGGTTAGTTCGGTTCGGGATTGAAGTTGTCCATATGTTTGAAAGAAAAAAAAAAAAGAACTAAAATTTAATATATTTTTTGAAATATTTTAAACTATATAAAAATATACTATCTAAACATAATAATATATATAAGTTAATTATTAATTATATTAAGTATTTGAATGTTCAAATTATTCAAATATTTACTTAACAATATTTTTATATATATAATTTATTATAAAATATTATATATATTTAAAGTTATTAATAAATTAAATAGCGGCTAAACCGGTTCGAAATACATATGAATTACTTTGTGTAAATATGATTGTACGTATTGATTTATTCATTGTCTGTATGTGGTGAGTTTTTTGAGCGCATATAGATAATTTTACAGTTTATATGTAGTGGACAATGACCCTATGTTAATTTTGATGGGCCTTGGGTTTCTATATGTGGTTACTAGAACCACATATACATAACAATTATAATTTTGTTACAAAAAATGCCAACGTCATACGGGTATGTTACACCCGATATAAAAAATTATCGTTAGAATGTGTTTTTTTTCGAGTTTTCATATGGAGTGGGGCGATCGCGTAAAAAAAAAGGTAAGCGCAGTGACATATAAAGCACAATGATTGCGCATAAAATACAAGGACAGTGATCGTGCTAAAAGTACAATAACGTTTATATGTGCAAAGTTGTCACGAAATTCCGAATAATATATGTTTGATCTAAGTGGGATACATGAACATGTGTAACTTTGTCGATCCTATACACATCTAACATATAGAAAATTTTGTTGGTCTCTGCATGTGTAATAGAATTAAACCACTTTAGTGATGTTTTCTTACGTAGATCGGTTGTTTGCCTATTTACATCAGTAAGTGTTGATCGACAAGTAGTTCTCTCCATAGGATAATATTTAGTTGAAGCGTCCTGGGGAATCTCTGCATAGATCTATGGGCGTTGGATCAGTACTTCGATGATGGCTTCTCCTTGGGATGATATTTTGCCGAATCGTACCAAGAAACATCTTTGCATAAATCTGTTTTTATTTTTGTAGAACTTGCAATTTTTGCCAATTGCAGGAGCAACTTGTGGTCTTTGCTGACCTTGATGGTTTATCTCGACCCATGTAGGAGGTTTACTCCACGAGTCATTGCTTGATTTGGCCTCCAGGCATATGAGAAAAACTCGGTTAGGCGAGCGACATGTTGGGCGATAATGATCAGGCACAATTCAGCGATCGCCCAACAACCATATGATGATCACCAATCGAGTTGACTGATTTTAAAACCTAATGACAAGATTTGGAAGTTGATCATTTGATATGTTCTTGTCATACTTTCCCCAGGCCCCCTGTTATTAAGGAAACTGTCATTACTCTACATCGAAGAGTTTTACACCCTCGACGTTCTTGTAAGGGTGAACTAATCGATCTGTATTTTTATCAAAGGTGTGCTAATATGAGATTAGGCCACAATGTATAGATCTGAGTTTTTTTTTTTTTTTCTTTTGGTGCGAGGAAGCAAAAAGATGGTATTTAGATACCTTTTGGAGAACTTTTATATTGATAGATTAACGGACTAATCGGTTTAACTGCCCTTTCTTCCGACCAATTATAAGAGAAAGAGACTCGGTTGCGCCGCCCTTCATTCAACAAGAATGGTCTGTGCGTGTAACACGAAAGAGAGATTTTTTTTTTAAAAAAAAAAAACTCAAATGGAGATGACCTTATATAGGGCTGAGGTTCATAGGTAACCCTTGATGATCGCTCTCTTTCTCGCGCCAATTTTGATGGTCGACCGCCAACGGTCATGGTTGATATAAATTGAGCGGTTTAATCAGGGGTTACAATACATTTTGTGGTGTAATTGAAGCAATAAATCAAGAGAAAATATGAACAAATTCATATTAACTAGGAAATTAAATATGAGAGAAAAGTAAATGAGGAACTAATGTTGCCAATCTCCTGTGGAGATTGACAAGGACAATGGTTCTCCAGAATTTTTATTAAAAGACTGCGTAGTGACGTGTTACAGTAATATGATATAAGGGGAGTGTATGCTATATGGTTTTGAATGGTTTTCTGATCATATGAGCGTTGTTTGGCTTGTTTTCATGTCCTTGCTAGGACATGTATGAGTCAGATTTATAAGCGAAAAAAAGTAAA